GATTTATTTATTTATTTTACAGAGAGAGAGAGAGAGTGTGAGTAGGGGAAGGGGCAAAGGGAGAGAGAGAATCCTCAAGCTTTTTTTTTTAATAAGTAAGAAATATAAAACAGAAAAAATACTGGATTTAATAATGGAAGAACAGAGCATTAAACTTAGCTATGCCTCCTACCAACTTGGAGACCTAAGGATACCACTTAAATTCTCTGGCTTCAGATGTCTTATTAGTAAAATAAAAATATTTACACTTTCTTTGCCTTCTTTACAGGACTGTTATGAAGGCCAAATGGGAGATCTTACAGATGACAGTCTCTAACTTTAAATTAACCACCTCGTTAGATTAACAGAAACTTCCCATTCTCTTTGTAAAACATAGATTGATATTAATGACTCCCTGAATACTAGATACTAGTAAACTCTAACTAGAATACTTATACTCTCCTACTCTGGCCTAATTAGGTGTAGGTCAGTTAACTATAGGGATGAATATATATCTATTTATCTAGATTTTCTATATATGTATATATACACACACACACGCATATATCTTGTGTATAGATAAGTATAAATATATACCTACATCTATACTTTTTATATATATGTGTGTATATATCTATACTATATATATATATATATATATGTAGTTGACACTTGAACATGGATATGAACTGCATGGGTCCACTGATGCTTGGAATTTTTTTCAATAAATATAGTATAGTACTATAAATGTATTTCTTCTTATGATTTTCTTAATAACATTTTCTTTTCTCTAGCTTACTTTATTGTAAGAATACAGTATTTAATATATATAAAATATGAACTATGTGTTAATCCACTATTTATGTTATCAGTAAGACTTCCAGTCAACAGTAGATTATTTATAGTTAAGTTTTGGAGGAGTCAAAGTTTTCAGGGAGTTAAGCTTTTGGGGAGTCGAATATATAGAGATATTTGATCATGTGGGGGTCTGTACCCCTAACCCCACCTTGTTCAAGGGTCAACTATATATTCATCATATGTATAAACTAAGTGTCAGATGATATTTACATATCATCTAGAAGGACCTGACACCTGCTTCAAAAGCATATAAGTTCTTATTCTACTTTAAATAAATTAAAGCCAAAAAACTATCCATAACGAACTTGGGATGGTTTGTGGAAGAAAAGTACACACAGAACTCCAGTTATAGAACCAATGCTCAACAAAAAAATCTTGTTCATTTAACAAGTGATTTGTAAATTGATGTATATTTACATGTTTTCATTTAAAATAAAATGTTTAAGACCTATATATTTATTAATAACTTTCTGCTTTAGTCTCATTTCAATTAATCAACCATGTATATATTGTTTCATTGATGACAACATAACAATAGTGACAGAAAAATAAATTTTCTAATCACAATAAGGTGCTAACTTAACTCTATAGGAATATGCCAGGTGCTATAGGAAAACAGAAGAAGGGAAAAAAACTGACTCTGCTTTGGGCAGGAAAAGAGGAGGCAGTGGTCAGAGTTGGTTTCATGGAAGTAGTATTTTACTATGAGATAAAAAGTAACTGGGGGGGGCACCTGGGTAGCATAGTCAGTTAAGCGTCCAACTCTTGATTTCAGCTCAGGTCATGGTCTCAGGGTCCTGGGATCAAGGTCCTCCTTGGGCTCCATTCAGCAGGGAATCTGCTTGAGGTTTCTCTCCCTCTCCCGCTACCTCCCCAACCCCCACCCTGTTTGCCCTCTCTCTCTCCCTCAAATAACTAAATAAATCTTTAAAAAAAAAAAAGTAACTGGGAATTCTCCAATTTTACTAAAGCTGGAAAGGATATTGTCATTAGAAGCAACCGATTAAGAAAAGGCATTGAGATATGAAAATACAGTGCTTTCAGGTAATGCAATATGCTTAGAAAATCACAGAAATGAGGATGGAAAGGTAAACAGGAATCCCATCTAAAGGGAACTATATATAGATCAAGTTAAGCAGTTTGACATTTATTGTATAGAGCAGTAGTTTCAAATTGTGTTTCATAGAATTCAAGTTCAGAAAAGGCACTTCTTGTATTTCACAAATATCTGAACAAATGGGCATTCAAATGTATACATACTGAACTGAGATTGCAGTAAACCAATGTATTAACTTTTTTGCTAACCTTGAACCAAAGTTTCTTCTACCATTTCTGTGTTTTTGAACTTCTTATACATTTGTCACTGATTATAAAGGTTGTAGCTTTATACTTTTACCTTTTTAAGGCCAGAAAAAGTCCTACTACCTGCCAGGGATAATATTATACAACAAAAAACAAATATTAAAAAACAAGCTTTTTATAATAGCTGTATAACTTATTATAATTTATTTTTTAAATGTATGCCAATAAAGTACATTTATTTGTTTTAATAGATGTTATTTACAGGGTTTCACATTAGACTTTTGTTTATAGAGCATCACTGCTCTAGGGAAACCAACATAGAATTTTTAGCAGGGAAATGACATAATGAACATTATAGTTCAGAAATAACCATTATTATAACATAACAAAATCAACTGAAATAGGGTAAAACAAGAGGTAAGAAGATCAGGTAGGAAGTGATTCAAGTGACTAATCAAGAAAATACGATAGAATGAACAGGTACTAGAGATGGCAAAAAGGGAATAAATTTCAGAAATACTAAGGAAATGGAATAGATAGGATTTGATGACTGACCAGAAAATAAAGAGGAGGATGGTTTTCAAAAGAGAAGATTACAGATTTGTACTTTAATTTTGGCCATGTGGAAAAGGTACAAGTACCCAAAAGGTGCCAACTGCTTAGTACTCAGAATAGAATGTTCTTTGCACATTTAATCAGTGAGTCCAAATGAAGTCCCCATTTTAGTAACAGTTCTAATTTTGAAACAACCTTAATCCATTTTTATATATTTTATTATAGTCCAGGTAACCTGAAGTACAATCATAAAATTACTTTTTAAAATTAACTATATTGCTATCCAAAGATGCCATAATACTTTCCCCATTTAGTAACAGTTCAATACTATTAGTGTTCCACTTATATAGCTATCTATCCTTCTAATTTCTTTGAAAGTATAATTTTGTTACCTATATTATTATAGCCCACTGCTTGTAGTCATTCCACCAAGAACAAGGTGATTTTTAAAACTTTAGGAACAATATAAAAATAAACAATTTATTGCCTTTTCCAATTTATACATCGCCTTCACCTAATTGTCTTGTTTGATCTTCCCAATAACTTTAAGTCAGAAGAGCAGAAATACTTATTACCATACTACAGATGGGAAAATCAAGGTTCAAGGCAGATAAAAGGCTTGCCCGAGATACATGGCTGGCAAGTGACAGAACTTTAAATAAAATACAATCTGATTCCTAGGCCAGTGTTCTTCCTACCATGCCATATGTTTTTGAATTAATTCATATTTAACTTCTGGCACTTTTCATGTCTATTTCCTGTCTGAATAAATGGGAAGATAACTATATATCCCATTTTCCTCTCTTGCATTCACCCCTTTCCCCTGAAATTTTTAATTTAAAACCTTCTCTACCAGGTTCAAAACCTCAACAGTCCAATGCCACTCTGTTTCAGAGGTCTTTTTTATATCAATTTTATCTTGACAAAAACTCTCCTGCCTCACATTCATGAACTAAGAGAATTTGGAAATTTTTTCAGAATCTTGGAATGGAAACAGTAATATGTCAAAGATTAGATAATCAGGGCATTATTCCCCTGACTAGCAGTTCAAATTTGACCCCTAAGATCCTTTTACATATTTGTCTCATGACCAATATTAAGCCCCTAATCTGACAAAATATCTATTATTTCAAATTGAGAATGAAATTATATACAACTTTGTATACAAAATTTTATGCATACAAACCTCACAGGGGTAGAATTATATCTTTTAATCTGACCTAATTCTAAATAAACTCACTTTCACATAAACAGATTTAATGTTTTATAATGACCTTACTGGGAATAGAGACTAAGACAATAATTGAAACTTATCTCATTATATAGAAGTTATTTACTACAAAAATAATTTTAATAATTTCAAAACAATTCTTTTGAAGTACCAAAAAATTTAATAATTTCTGTGATTTCAGAAATTTATGATTTGTTCTTATGAATTCAAATATTTTAAAACTATATTCATCTGTATCATATGAATGACTTAGTAGCTTTTTAAATTGTACATGGTAGGTCAAAAACACATTCCTAGGCTACCCCGCAAAAAAGAAACAATAAAAATTATAAACTATGTCAGAAAAATATAACAATATATATTAACAAAACATTTGTTTTGTAAATTCTCACCTCTCCCCATCAGAAACTCTTTCTTTTGCTTATTCATTAGAAGTTGAACATTAAAGCATAATTACCTGAAATGTTTCCTCACTAAACCAGAAAACAGGCTATTTTTTAAGTTCTTACAAGAATTAAATCCATGGCATTTTTTTATTAAGAATCTGCAGGGGGTTTTTCTACAGAATTTTAAACAATGAATGTAAAACAATACCATTAGATCTTTTAAAATGGATGTATTCCTTTAGCTATTATCTATGTACTTGTAGCAACATCTTAATAGGTTTAATCATTTTATACTGCACAGTGACATAAAATAATAATTAGTTTCACTGAATGTCAACAAGGAATTAACCAGAATGATTTTTTCCTTCAGTTTTCTACTTATACATAAATATTACATTAAAAACTTTGTCCACAATTTGGACCTTAACATTGTCTTGCAAATCCTACCTTTTATGGTTGTTTACTTCCATTTTAAACTACCATAGCTTTTTAAATTGATGTTGAAATCAATGCCCAGAATATCTTTATTAATTCAAACATCTATCTATAGAGTTCTCTGCCCAGGACTGCCTAATGCTGGCATCTCAACAACTTCCAGTCCCTAGTGTGGGTGTTGCTGTTGTTAATTCTTCTTTCCTCACAACAGTAAAATAAAGAAATAATAGGCTTCAAGCCAATTCAGAACTTACCTTGCAAATCTGGAAATACTCTGAAGTCAGGGTTTCCTGAATCTCCTCTTTGAGAACCCCTGCAGTCCCTCCTGGATGTATGGAACCACTTCCAGCCCCACCACCACTGTTACTGCCACTGCTGCTACCACTGCCAGGGGAGGAGGCAGTTAAGCCATCCAAAACTTTTCGGAAATTAAACTTCTTCATTTTAAAAACTGTTGAGAAATTCAAAGGAAAGGGTGACTTAACACATGAACTTATACCTGGGTAAAAGTGTTTAGCTTTTCATTAGTCAAGGCAGTAGACAGTCCTCATTTTACGAGCATTGGCTATAAATGACTAAAAAAAAGAGAGAGAAAGTCATACTTCATTTTGTCAAATTTTAGTTCAAAAAGGAACATCCTTTAAAAAGAAATAATAAAATGTAACTCGAAAAGCAACAGTATTTCCTCCTCATACATCAAATTTTCAAGGGCTTTATCCCCAGCTGTAGCTACGCTTTATCAGCACTGGGGTAAAAATAAAAGGCAGTGTCATCATCGTCATTAGCATTATATCATCATTATTATTATACAATCAGACCGGAGTCCAACAGGCCAAGACTCTGTCTCTCTTAAGGGCGGGCTTTCCTTCTAAAGGTTCAGCTCAGAATATTTTCAGAAAAACGATGTTGGGGTTGTGCGGTGGGAGAGCCGGTATTTACTCTACTACCACCCTCTGGGCTCTCCCCCCATCATCTTCAACGCTCCCTTTTTCTCAGTAGGTAATGAGGGGTAGGCCTTTTTCCATCCCCCCCCAACAGCCGGACCCCAAAACATCTGCGGGTGACCCAACAGCAACAGCCGACGGGAGGGGCGAGCGGCGGCGCCGGCTGCCTCCGCTTCTCCCTCCGCCCCCCCCTTCCCTCCC